ATTGGGGTACAGCATCCAATAAAACTATAGCACTTTGCTCTATCTAGATGCCTAGGGATCCCTAGGTGTTTCGATATCACTTCTATTTGATTGGGAGCAGTTATATGTCAATTACTTAAAAATGTACACCCACTATGTGCCTATATGCTCCCTACAACTTTCAGCACCTTAATACTAATTAGTAATTATCATCAGGCGCATAATTAATCTCACATAAGAGACATTACTGCTTCTCATTTCAAACAATTTTTTTTAAATCTTAAACAATACACAAAGTAAATAGTTGTAATAAAGTAGTTCCTCGATGGGATATTAATCTCTAATTAATGAGTGCTAAATAAATTTGACTAACATTAAAGATTAACTAAATTGATCAAGTGTTGTTTCAAATTCTAGAATATTGAATTATAAGATTGAATTTTTGTGTATTCTCACGAATTTAAGAACGTACAACATAGTTTTTACCGAATCATGATATGACAGAAGAATTACACTAGACTGATTATCAGCTGACAATACAAGTTCACAACTGAAGGATTCCGGAAATCTGCAACACAATCAGATAACTGGTTAGAAGTATAAACTATAAATTTTCGGTAGCAACTAGACTAGATTCTCGACCTATATGCATATACTTGGAGATTTATTCCTCGAGACAAATAATGGCTAATATCTAATAAGTATCTAATAACCCGATATATGCGACAACATCTAGATAATGTGTTTCCCGGAAGATGGATAGGTCGAGATGGTCCAATGGTCTGGTCACCTGGATTCCTAACCACAATCCTCTTGATTTTTATTTTTGGGATCACTTAAAAAGCATAGTGTACGCCACTGAAGTACTGAGCAACTATTACGAAATAGGATACATGCTGCTACCGAGGCAATCCCCCAACACTCTGGTTTAAGCCTCAGCAGTGAGAGGAGCCCAATCGGGGATTTGGCGAGCCCAATTGTGTATAGAAAATATGGGAAATAACTTCGAACACTTGCTGTGATGTTAGTTTTATATGTTCTATGTATTAAACTAAAATTAACAGTAGCACTATCACTCGAACTAACACTAGACCTACTTGACGTTTGAAGATAACTTCGAACTTATTTCTGAAGACGCTTGCAACATGGCATCCGAAACGTCAAATATTTTTTCAAAAGATACACGGCTTAACCCGAAAGTTTCTAGGTCCAGTGATGTACTACTGTTAGTGCTAGTTTTAGTTTAATTAACACCGATCATGAAAGCCTTCGTACTTATGTTCGATGTATTCTTAATTTGAAAGTAAATTTCTCGGATATCTAGAAAACTAAAAAACTTTTGCTACAATTTTCTTCACATATCTATTAGTCATTATTTGTCATGAGGAATAAATCCCCAAGTTTATGCATATAGGTTGAGAATCATCCTGTATTTAATCATCGGTGTCAATCATTTTTGTATGATCACTTGTTGGAACAAACTAAATGTGTTATTATTATTATTAAGTGACCTAGAGTTTCTTTAATTTCTATAACTTTAACAATGGAAAACAATAAATGATATTTTTCATTTTCAAAAATATGAAAATAACCAATTAGGTTCCGATTTTAAGAATACTTTCTAAAATTACAATCTTAAAGGACTTTAAACAAATAATTTGTCAAAATATCGCTCGAATTAATAGCACTTACAATTAGATAAATAATACAAATCTCTAATCAGCACTTTTAAAATCAATGACTCCAACTTGTGTTAACCCACTAAAAATAATTAAGAAATGCAATGATTAAAAATTTAATTCAATGTAACGTATCTTACTTCATTACCTCATGCAAAGTAACAGACACAATATCTTTTGAAGAAATCAAACAATCAATCTGGAGATTATCAATAAGAAAGTATTTTTCTGAAAATATGAGTAAATCATAACAGTATTTAAAAAAAAATAATAATCCACAGCCGATTACAAGATTTAAATGCCTTTACACAATCCCTAACATTTCATTATTGTATGGCAGAACGCGATAAACGCAGATTTGACACCAACAACGATATGGATGAAAGAGATTAAATATAATCTGTAGCACGCTGGTATTGATGAATATCGTCTGGCAATTCTCTACTACGTGAAGGACAGATCAATTACTGCCGTGATTAACGAATATTTATCAAATACCAGATAATTATTAGCGAACGTTTTAGCAGGTGATATCTTACTGCCATACTTTTCAATATCTTTATCTAAAATGAAACTTTTCATAATATAATTGAAGTGCCTCAAAGATCTGTTGACCAAATTAACAATTATTTTTAATAATTATGTTACTACAAGAAAGGCATAAAAGCGTGAAGCAAAGATCTTTGCCCTTGGACACAGTTGAAATGCTCACAATATTATAATAGAAGAAATATTATGTAACAAAATTACTACAAAAATACAAAACTATATCAAGGATAGACCAAACTATGCAAAACAAATATATGTGCTTATCAACAGAAATCTTTGATTACATTACATACATACACATAACTACTTATGCTTGCCTACTCAGTTTGATGTAACGCTTCGAATACATATTAGAAATATATGTATATACTATAGAAATCGATTAAGAAAAGGAAATTTGAGTGCCCAAAACAAATTGATGAAATGAACACATCCCGCTTTACGTTACAATGTACAGAAAGATTATACAAAACCTACACTGTTAATCATGTGTAAGTACACTCCAATTTGATTTACATTACAGTTCTTGAATTTATATATAGGTGTTTATGGTTCACATTTAAAGTGAGAGTAACCTGTGTGCTACAGCAAAATCCAAAACTGTACAAAGTCTTTTGAAATAATTAAAATTGTCAGACTAATATTGCAAGATGCTAATATCATTGTTGTAGCAACAGTGTGTGAAAAATCTACATATAAAGAAGTAAAAAAATCTTCTAAATATTATATACTTTAATGCTTAATGTACTGTTAATGCTACAAGCCACTTAGAGGTTTTTATAGTTCTTTTATCATGTATACTTGAAACTAACAATCATTTCTGTTTACACAGTTTATTACAATTCTACACTTCAAATCTTCAAACCTTGTCAAACAAACCATAAAAAAAGTTCTTCTTAGTTACAGAGGTTACAGATGAATGGAGTCCAACAATCTAAGAATTTCGCAGGACAGAAACAATTATGAAGTGAGCAGAAATAAATGCCCTTAATAAAACCAATGAATGGTTGCACGTAATGATGTTGCAAACCATAAAGATACAATATATTGAAAGAATGTTTCGAAATAAGTGTTCTAGTAAACGATATCTTTGAAGGTGGCTTTATATTAATTGACAGAGATTTTCGAGAAGTTATGCTCTAGCCTAGGTTATTAATTAGACATTACAGAAGCAAATTCATCACGATTTCTTTCAAAAGTACGCTAGATTATCGAACAAGTCTTGGTAGAATGAAAAAGAAATTTAGGATCTTTGCCTGGCCAGTTCACAATGCGACATTAGAGCATGATTATGAAACTTTTAAGAGCCTTTGTATTATTGAATTTGTTTCACAAACCAATGAATGTGCTTAATCGTTTGAAACAACTAGCTCAATAATTTAATCTTTCACAACTTAGGTCTCCATATCTTAAAATTGAATACCGAAGATAAATGAGAAAAATAATCAATTGCTTTCGATTTCCACAATTGAGAATTAATGATTTCTATTTTACATTAGTTTTGGTCTATATCAGATAAATAATGAAATTTCTTCTTTTCTCTAGTGTAGAAATTCCAGCTTGATCAAAGGCATAGAACAGCTGCTTTGTTAATTAAAGCATATATTTTGATCCTGATAGATAGAGGAAAAGGGACCGAAAATCGATATAAAAAATATATATAAAAATCTAAAAAATATATATATAAATCGATATATAAAATCGATATATATATATATATATCATTTACAACATTATGATTTCTTAAAATTTCAGCTTTATTTTAAGGCTTCATTAAGGTTTTGAATTACATTATTTTGGCAGGGTATTTTAACTAAAAAGAGCAAACTTTGTAAGGCTTCGTTGGGAACTACTTGATGGTTATCTGATAGTTTTGCCAAAAAAAATAGTATTAACTAAGATTAGACAAAATTAATGCACACATACAGATTATTTTAAGTGATCGTTCGAATTGTTACATCCCTGAAGATGCCGTAGTGATGAAACCGGTACAGCTCGTATAAAGAACAAAAATTAGTTTATTTTAATAAAACTCGTTATTCTAAAATACTATTAATTACAATAAGATTGTTTGATATTCAAATCTGTTAAATGGAACCAAAATTGTTTATTTTAATGTTCCATATTAAATTATTTAGTACAACTGTAACCACAACATAAAAAAATATGTTATACTAGTTCAAACTACTGCATATAGAATATGTAACATTTAAACATTCTTTCAGGTTTCTATATTTTAGTACATACATTTCATTAAAAGTTGATCTTGAAATATTAACGATCGTTTAAAATAATCATTTAAATTTAATAAAATAATTAATTTAATTAAATGTTAATCAATTTATAAACGTTGATAATATCTATTGATAAATCTTAGATAATAATAAATCTAAAAACTAAATTTTCGCTAAATATTAGTTAAATCAAATTTAATATGGTATCCAGACAACAAATATTAAAAAATGGTTATTTACCTCAACAATTTCAACTTTACACGTTTTATTGATTTAAAACATTAAAAAAGGAAGTTCAAAGTGTTCAAGCATACAAACCAACCCATTTTAAAAATTATTTCTTTTTGGTTTCTATGTACTCTGCTCAAACGAGTTTGTTTTCCTTTCTTTGAGTAATCCTGAAGATTATCGCAAAGTAGGTAGAAAACTGTTCAATAAACAATATAAAGTTAAAAGTCTTTAAGTTAACCACTTTCAAGGATTTATTGTTTATGTTTATTTTATCAAAAAAGAAAAAACAATAAACATAAAAAGTAAATATACCGTAACTTCCGCTTACCTTTTCCAATACACCGCAAACTCTGCGTCCGTTCCTCTCACCCAACCCGAGAATTCACCTCTCTCAAACGAACATAACAGGTTCACACATAATCCTCTTCGAGGTAGGCGCACTCATATACCAAGAAGAAAAACCACTTTAATCCAAAAAGAGAAGAAAAAGAACACGCACTAACACTATTTCTTTTATTAAAATCGAATTTACCCGTCTAAAGGTTTAAAAGAACGAACGCGTTTTTGGTGAAAATGAAACCGATCAAAATTCGCGCTCGAAATGATTTCTCTCTCGCAAAACGAATCCTCCTCCAAGCAAAATGGCGAAGCGAACACCTCAAAACGCAACGGAACTCTGAACAGCGACTCCGGCGAACACACGGAGCCGTGCGAGAGAGAGGCACGTGCTCCGGAAACAAAGGATGGGAAGATAAAGCGTTCTCAGGTAGAGTGTATAGTAGGATAGAAGGGACAGAGAATGCTTTTCTGTATAGAGTAGAGAGGTTCAACTGTATAAAGAGGAGAATTTCGTCCGTGGCGACGACTGTTGGGGGAGAGAAATCGATTTTCTGTTATGGACGTGGAGGAAAAATTTGTTGGGGATGGAAGAGCGCGAGCGAGGGGTTGCGATGAACCGTGGCGGTCACGCGTTCTGAATTCGTTCGAAACGCACAGGTTCACTATTTCTTGTCACTGCAAGTCTCTCATTCTATTATGATACCCTTTTAAGACTACATATCGGCCCCTCACTTATTTATTTCCCTTCTATTTTGTGGTACAAATTCTGTTTTAAAAAAGAATGCTTTTGGACTTCATCCTTTTAGCCAAAAATCACCTGATTCTTAATCGATACTGCGGGATATTATATTAGCGAAATATTTTTTACTATCTATTTTAGCTTATCTAATCTTCGTCGACCGTCACTTGTGAAATATTTTATTGTGGCTAGCAAAAATTTACGTCAAAAGCCGTTTTTTATAACAGTTTTGAAATGAATTGGCAATTAGCCAAAAATTAATTATTGCATTATTAAATTATAAATTTTAATGTATTTTAATCTATAACAGTTTTTTTAAGCAGTGTTCTACGAATACTACCTAAGATAAGTAAATTGTGTAAAGAAATCAGAATTTTTTTATATTATGAATGTGATAGCCAAATAGTTATGTTTAGTTTATCGCTGCAAATTAATATCATTTTTGAGTTAATGATCATCTTATACTCGAAATTTATATAAAAATGTCCAGTGCTTGATTTAAATTTCCTGCCAGTCTTAAAAATGGTAGTATATTATTCGATGCCGTGGGAAACTTATCTCTATGTGGTAACATTGGATTCAACTAGCAGCAGCAGTGCACTAATGCAACGAACATAAGTTGCGGGGATTCACAAGCTTGCTAATCTCAGGCCCGCGATCACAAACACAGAACACTGTCTAGCCCATGTTACATCACTGCAGTCTACGGTGCCAGTGAACTTGAATTGAAAGTTATTTGTGTTATCAGTAACAGTACAATATTTGTGTTAGTATCTAATTGCGTAATGAAAAAAAGTAATAACGTAATGAAATGGATTCAAGGATACCGTCAAAATGGCATTGGAATTAATACAAAATGATTGACTAATGCTACAATTGAACTTAACAGACTTTAAGAAGGTTAGTTGGTGCTACAGGTTTATGAAGTGTCGTGGACTTAGCATGCGATACAAAAGCTAAGTATCTCAGAAAATGCCAGAAGAGTATGAAGAGAAAATATTATCTTTCCATCGCTTTATTATTCAACATTGAAAAAAAAACAGTGTAGAACTAGCTAAATAGCAAATATGGACGAAATTCTTCTGACATTTGATGTACCAAGTGCCGATGTGCCAGAACTGTTGGCATGAAAAGTGCTAAACCTGTAACTATAAAAACAAGTGGATATGAAAAAATGCACTACACTGTTGTACTTTCATGTTGTGCTGATGTTACTAAACTTAATCCAATGATCATTTTCAAGCTCAAAACAATGCCAAAATCTTCTGAAATACGGCTAGGTGTTGTTGTTCACGTACATGACAAGGGTTGGATGGACGAGGCGGGTATGAAATTATGGATTAACAGAATGTACGAGAGAAGGAAAGGTGCTTTATTGAAGAAGAGTTCTCTTCTTGTGCTAGATCAGTTTAGCAATCATTTGGCAAATTCTGTGAAAGAGAAATTGAGACAAAGAAATACAAGGATTTCTGTTATTCCGGTTATAAAATAAGCAATGCTTGGTATGTCATAAATAAATTTTAAAATTAATTTAAGAGATAGACACATTCACGGGCAAAATATGTAAGTATCAGACACACACGTATAATCTCAATGCCTACCACCACTGATGTTATACGTATTTTGTTTGATTGTTTCTGATGTGGTATCTATAAGTTCTCCAAGTTAATGTCTGGCTAATTGACGAACATAATACCTTCTCAGTAGGGATTGCAATCCCGGAATTTCAATCCCGAAAATCCCGGGATCCCATACATATTTAAATCTCGAAAATTGTCTCGAAATTATCGATTACTATTTCGGGATTATGTTTATGTCATTAATTTACTATTCTTTGAAGAATAAGGCTCGATCTATCGGTTTATTCTGCTCTAAACAAACAACAGCCACCTGTCCAGTTAACTAAGAATGCACTTGAAGAGTACATACATTGATTCAAGAAATTGATATATTCACTAATGTAGCATGGGTGAAAATTTTCAATTCGCTTTTGAATATTTGAAAACCATTCCACCAACAAGTGTGGAATTGGACCGGTGCTTCTCTTCAGCAGGTTTATTAAACACAAAATTTAAATCTCGTTTAGGAGATAAAACAATAGATAAATTGTTTGTTCTGCGACATTTCTTTAAAAATAGTTTTATGGATGGTAGATTTTTTTATAATGCTTTGTATTATGGTTAGAATAAACTGTAACGTTAATTTTTTCAATTTTTTATTATCATCTTGAACACTTTTTATTTGTAACTACAATATGTAGCCTTTAAAACCCGGGATTACCCGGGATAGAGAATTCTGATCTCGAAATCCCGGGATTATAAAAACTCTTCTTGATTGTATTCCCTACTTCTCAATCTTCGAAGTGATTTATTTCCATTCTTTGATTTGTATTTTGCTGTTATGTATCAGTTTTCTCTATCAAAGTGGGATTTTCTATGACATCTATGCCAATTTTTTGGGATGCATGGGAATTTGTCTATTATTTCTTATATAAATACACTTCGCTAATCGACAGCGTTTATGCTAATTTCTTCTTTTCCATCCAATTAGTTTCTAGGAAAGATTTGACGGTTGGTCTACAAGGTTTTACTGATAAAATCACTAATGATGAAGACAAAATTACTAGTCTTTTAGCACATGGTGATAGATACGTTTTCTTCGACCGCAAATCTTATAAACATTGCATAAGTATGTTGCATACCAGACGGAAAGATAATGGGTACTGGCTAGCAGATACTTATTACTTATGCAGTATGCCTTTGAATACATTGAACTTAATAAAGTTACATCTACAGATTTTTTTACTTCTGGGGTACCTCAAGACTTCAATCAGAGTCCACTGTTATTATTATAGTTTATATAAAAGATCTTTTGGATTAAATCACATGTTCTGTAGCTGCTTATGATGATGATTTAATTTGATAATTTGCTTCGCATGGTTAGCCTGTTGCAATACAATCTTGATTGCGGACGAATAAAGTTGACACTATTAATGAAAGTGCATAATAATAGCAATTGTCTAATATTAATAACACTCTGTAGAGTGGTAATGCATGTATGTGTCTAACAAAGTGTTGAAGAAAACCAAGTAATGTTTCGTGTTACATCCACATGAAGGGTTGGCAGCGCCCATTGAGCCTGGAAATACGATTACTAGGGGATCGGTATTTCGTACAGCATTTGCTGCAAAACTCGCTAACGTAACCCTTCCTGCTGAAGTGAGTGCTTCAACCTGTCATCTCCTACGTCTTACTATCACTTTGTTAGGATTTTGAACTGTAATTATACCAGTTTCATCAGCATTGTAGATGTTTTGTGGTTCGAACTTATAACGAATCTATAACGATTGTTAAATTATCATAAAACGTCTACATTGTTTTTATTGAAACTAGTTGCCTTGCAATATTTGTTACTTACGCCACTCGAACTGACACATCGAAGCTTCTTCTCATAAAAGTTAGACCACCAAACCGTTGTTGGCAAGTTATTGGCAAATTTTCTCACTTCTTTCGTAGAAACAACCTAACCCTACCCAACTCAACCCAATCCAACCCAACATAAAATATATTTCTGCACAACGGATTAACTAGTTCCACAGTTGACATTCTTGAATTGTATTAAAAACAGTGTTATGTGCTCTGTATCTCATGTTCACGTCCTGTTGGTGTTTTTCATTAGCCGGGTCTCTCTTCCGAATACTATAATAATAAATAAAACCAAAAAAGAATTAATAATAAAGACTAAGAATAAATACTATAAAAGAGAACCATAATTAACGTTATTGATCGGAGTAGCTTTTAATTTTGAAAATCACGTGAGGGCTACTATATTATTCACGCCATAAAATGATAATTGTATATTTTGCCGATAACTAAAGTTATAAAACGGAAATGCCCGCAAACCAAAGACATCGGAGCCTCATGCTTAATAAAAGTTGTCTAAAGCTAAATCCAGCTAAATCCAGTATATATCATTGGGAAGAGCTAGTTTTGGAATAAAACTCTATTGTGCGAGTCTAATATGAATATTTGTATGTAACAATCATATTTGTGTGTAGGGTTTACTTGATCACGTCGTTAAGTTCAATCAGAAATATTAATTTCTTTGATTATTATAAGTGCGTTGTCTAATCTTTGCCAAATAGTCCTAGAAATAGTGAAAAAGATTGTTTGATACGGATATAAATTCACAAATAAATTAAAAATGTAAATACCGATGACGGCAAGAAAAAAATACTTTTTAGTTTTGTTTTTTATTAACGAATATTGATACATTTACTAGAATTTACAACAACAATGAATAATTAGCGATCAATGTACTATAGAATTGAGGTCGGTGTCTTGTATGTAATTTTCTCTTTACCATTTTAACCCCTTGTACAAGTATTAATTTGGTAACAGCTTGTAATGGATTCCATACCTCAGAAGGGCCAGATGGGCAACACACAATGTAACCCCATTTATAAGTTACCTCATCTTTATGTATTGTATTAGCATCTTTATATAATAGTGTTAATAATAATCTTTGAGTTACTTTGTTCACCGACGATATTACAATTGCTCATCAGCTTAAAGGACTTTTTTTAGTAACGGTGTAAACATTTTGTATACGATTTCAAATAAGTGATCAATCAGATTGC